CTTAGCCTGTTGCATTTCTGTGACAATATTCATGACCAGGGTAGATCAGCGGTCAGTCATATGCCTACAACATCTGTACAACCTGCTCAAACTCCATCTCTAACAAGCACCTCGCCTTTTATTATCAATGGCATGCAAATTTAAATTACAATACCATAACATTAGAAATCAAATCAGGCTGCAGGTCCTTGAAGGTACTATATAATTAAACCTTGTGCCTATGACACCATTTAGCTAGGTTATGTCCCAACCACAAAACACAGGCTTGGGGACTATCCCAGCTGATCTTAGAGACAGTACCAATTCACAACTATGCAGTCACTACGAGTTAATCAGAATAACTAGAGGACACCATACTGAATATGGGTCCCCACCATTTCCCCAAAAACACCAGATTTAAACCACCTGCAAGGACCCCAAACCATGAACTTCCGCTACAACCAAATCCAAACCATCATGAATCAATAATTACGGTGGGAGAGACGTTCATCCAATGAATTCTGTGGTCCAAATGGATCATCCTCACTCCTCCTCACAGACCGTCCTCCCATGCTGCTATGCCTCAGCCCACTTCTTTCTGCCAATCAGGAAAAGTGCCATTACTTTATTCAGTCTTCTAAGCCAATTAGCCCCACGCTGCTTGTGTTCCCCTTCTATGCAGTCATGTATGCCCTCTGCTTAATTCACTTTCTTCATAGCTCTCGGCATGCTAATTAGGACACTAACACACTGTGCTGAATTTATTTTAGCTGGAAACTGATAAAAATCGTATGCATAACAACAAGTCATTTCTATACTGACAACTATAAGACAGGATGACTCTGAATAATATGGGAGACTGACACTCCAGAAAATTGCAGAATATTAAACAAACACAAAAATAGAAATGGAAAAGTAGGCATTTAAAGGATGACTGAGCAGTGTAAAAGCCAGTTACACTGGCTCTTTTATATTTGCCACAAAGATTGCAAGCAAAGAGTGACCTTTGGATTTTAATTCAAATCATTCAACATTTACTTGCTTTAAAGTCACAAAACAGATATGCAGTCAGATAGAAATTGAACTAATGATCTCCATTTTCAGTCATAACTCCATTTTCCTGTTACACCAGTTGTGTGGAGTGTTTCAGTAGGACTGGTCAGTCCAGTAGGCGCTAGAAACCCCCCCCCCCCCCCCGTACTCTCAGTATTTAATCAGATCTGGTCAGACACACCTTCTCTCTGCCCCTGCATTACAATCTGTATCTGGCTACAGCTCAGGGGGTGTGGCTGTTACTCAGCTCTGCCAGCACAGAGTTCCAGAGAAATGAGCAGGAAGCAACATCTTCACTAAATCCAGGCCATAGAGGGTTCAAATCTCGGCTACTAGCAATAATCCCCGTGTGTTGTTTTGACAGGGACGGCTCCCTATGCTTCCCCCCCCTCCCCCGGGAGAACAGAATACCTCCACTGGAGGGATTCCTCTATCAACACTAACTGTGTTGATGGGGGAATTGAGCTTTTTTCTTTCCTGCAACTCGTGGTTGCAGGAAAGGAAATCACACCATCTATGGCTGACTTTAGAGCAAAATATATTTTGAAGCATTTCCAAGCAAGCAAACATCAGTTACAAATCATAACATGCAGTGTGAAAGACTATAAAGAGATAAAAAAATGAGATACTTTAATTGATTGAATTTGATGTTTTCAGATGATACCAGTTTTGAATCCAGGCTATAGCTATATAAAATGTAGATGAGGTCATGGGAAAAAGAAATTGGACTTTTCTCCTAAATGGTAAAGATTTTCAAAATTGTATTTTCTGTTTAGTATTTTCTGTAGGGGGTGTACTAATTGGTAACTTTTTTGCCTATCCCGGAGTTCTTCTTTAACTGGTTCCCACCCGGCCTATGGCCAAATGGCCGGCAAAAACCCTCGTTCCTCTGGGTGGACGCCATATAGCGTCCTTTCAGGCATGCGTAGTTTGCATGCGAGCAGAGCTGTGCAGCGGCGCAGCGGAGTACCTTGGACACGGCCGATGACAGATCTGTGTACCGGCCCCATTACCAGTACCATGTGACCTGCTGTGACCAATCACAGCAGGTCACATGACAGTTGTATACAATGGATGGCTTCCTGTCATGCCATCCATTGTATACAAGTGTGGCTAGCTGTGAATGGTCACAGCGATCACATGCACAAGCTGGGCCAATCACAGCCCAGCTGTGTCATGTAATTAGCTGTGGCCAAATCACAGTTAAGAAAAAAAAAATCCTGAATGAATCAATGTCATTCAGGTAAAGTGCAATCCGGTACCTGCTGTGTCTGGAGGACACAGCGTAACACTGGTCGCTGTACGGGACCTCTGTGTGAGGTCCCGATCATGCGATCACTGATTGGTCAATCAGTGATCACATGAATAGTAGTAAGCAAGATGTCACTTGCTTACTACTAGAGATCATTGCTTAATACGTGTGAAATCTGTGAATGATCACAGAGATCACATGGTACAAGGCTATTCACAACAGCCTTGTACCATGTGACAAGCCATGACCAATCACAGCTCTCACAGTATTTCTCAATGGCTGCAAGAATGCAGTCAAAGAGAAGGAGAAATGATTGCTTTTACAGCCTTTATGGGAAGAAGTTAGGTGATTATTACCATCTGGCATCCTCTTAAAGGACCCTTATCACAGCATGGTGTTGATATTTTTATTATTGTTTTGCATATATGTGTTTAAGGTTTATACCAATTAGCGCCTATCTTTGCATAGTTACATTGTTTATTGGTGTGTTTACACTTAAAGGGACTGCTAAAGAGTGATAGTCATGAGTCATGTTCTGTACAGAGAGGGATAGCTCAGGGAAGTCCCCTTTTTCACAGTAGGTACTCCAGTAAGCAAGTGCAGAGATGTACTGTAGAGCCAGTACCAGGGGCGGACTGACAACTCATGGGGCCCCTGTGTCCTTGCCCAAACTCAAAAAAGCCTATGAAAAAGGTACCAGGGGCATCTCATGGGGCCCCTTACTGACCCTGGGCCCTCGGGTAGTGCCCGAGTTTCCAAATGGTCAGTCCGCCCCTGGCCAGTACAGACTGCTCAAACATCTACAGTATAGCCTATTCCAAGAAGGGACACTATTCCTGAAAATGGAAGCTGTCCTCCAGTGATACCTCCTGTAAAGTAAGGAGACTGTATGTCTTTTAGTTTGCATATACTAGATGAAGAGTGGTTATCTGTGCTTAGATTAGACTTAAATTGATTCTAAAGTCAATATTTTTTAATAGCAAGTATATTATACTTATCTGATCTGTGCAATGGTTTTGCACAGAGCAATTCCGATCCTCAGGTCCCCCACCAGTGCTCCTGACTCCACCCCCCTGCTGAGTGCCACAATAGAAAGTTGCTTGCCATGGAGGCACTTGCAGGGGCTCGGTCCTGAGCTGGCTCTGTGTGTCCATTGACACACAGTAAGCAGCTTGCTCCCACCCCTTCTCATTGGCTGTGATTGACTCCTGCTGCTCTCTTTGAGCCAATGAGGAGGGAGAGAGCTGAGGGAGCTGCTGCCCTTGGGCCCTTCGCTGGATTGAGATTGAGCTCAGGTAAAAATAAGGAGGGGAGGGGGAAGCTGCATGTTTTTATCTTAATGCTTAGCATGCTTTAAGGTAAAAAAAAAAAAACCTTCTGCCTTTAGAACCACTTTAAATTAGATTGTGCCAATTTACATAAAGAAATCCATACCCTACTACTGTGTGCGAGTATTCCTTCCTAAAAAAAAGCCCCGCCTTCAAGCTTTCTCTCATTTAGATAAAACTTTTGCCCCAAAAGAAAAAAACAGTTTACAAAAAAGCTTACAAACTGTTTACAAAACGTTTACAAACTATTAGCTGGAAATAGGCTTTGTTAGTCATTTGAGTAAAGATGATTTAATTCTACAAGTCCATCCACACTACACTCTCCAGACAGTTCTGCTGTCCAAGCCTGACTTTGTTGCTCCTTCATAGGTAAAGGAGCCTATATCTGGCCATAGATGGAGCGATTTTCTTTCCTGCAACCACTGGTTGCAGGAAAGAAAATCGCTTGATACCATTATCAACAAAGTCAGCCTGTCGCAGAGCTATTGTGTTCTGTCGGCAGGGGGAGCCATCCCAGCCGGTAGAACACAGTGCTTATTGCTAGGGGCTATAGCCACGGGTAATGATCGCATGAAAAATCTGACATGCTGATAGTACCCAAGTTGAGTACAATCAGCCTGCCCATACATGGTTGGAATCTCGTACGGTCCCAGCTGAACCAGCCAAGATTCGACCCATCTATGACCAGCTTTAGACGGAGGTGTGTTACTGACCAGATCACCAGCTGAAAATAAAGAGAAAAAAGATAAACAAAGAAAACACATGCAGCCACCACATCTAAGTATTGGTAAGCTGCAATATTATCTTTTTTTTGATGCAGTACATGGTTACTGTAAGGTATGACCAGAAATAAAAAAAGGAGAGCCTTTGGTAGACACCGGCTCATGACACATGAAAACTAGCTTAGCATTTGTGCCCCAACCATTGTTTGCATATATTATCTTCTTAATATTATCTTCTTACCTACTTATCAGGTGATGTACAGGGAGGTTGAACAAGAAAATATATATAGTCACTAGAGGGAGAATCTACTAATCTGTTCATGTTATACAATAATGCAAAGATGGTAGAGCCGAAAACAAATGGTAGTTGCATAAAAATTACATTAATGCTATCAGTACAATAATAGCTTTTTTTTTTAAATTAAATTATTATTTACGTTTTTTTTTTTTTTTTTACATACTATCACCCTAGCAGTACAGTGTCACCATGATGACACTGTACTACTTGTGGTGGGGGGTGATGAAGATTTTTTTTTTACACTGATTGCTTTTACACCCATAAAAACTGTAAAAGCAATAATTTCTCCTTCTCTCTGGCTGCATTCTTGAAGCCATTGAGAAATACTGTGTGAGCTGTGATTGGTCACAGCTTGTCACATGGTACTAGCCTTGTACCATGTGACCTCTGTGATCATTCATTCATCATTCACAGATTTAACACGTAGTAAGCAATGATGTCAGGAAATGACATCTTGTTTACTACTGTTCATGTGATCACTGATTGGCCAATCAGTGATCACATGATCGGGACCTCACACAGAGGTCCCGTACAGCGATCAGTGTTCCGCAGTGTCCGGAGGTCACAGTGAGCACCCGATTGCGGTGCTCCCAGGGAGCGCGCACAGGCTGTAAATGCGGGTGCCATGTATGTACGGAAACCCGCTCCTGCACTGCTCCCGTCCAGCTGTTTATGTACATGGACCGGACGGGGAGTGGTTAAGGTGCCTTTGTTATCATTTCATAAGATAAGGGTGAAGCTTCTAGTTAGTTTGTGGTGTGAGGTTGGAAACATTGGTACAGATAACATCATATGAAGTGATACCAGGCTGTGCTTTGCTGTCTTTATACAATGAAGATCTGAGAATAATCTTCCATGAAGCTCTTTCTGAAACCCAGTCAGAAGTTTCAGGTATTGTTCAGTGCATCCTTAATTACTGCAGTGCTGAGCACGCCTCACTTCCTGTCAGGGGAAAGCCATTGTTTCTGTTACTTAACTGCCAAAAAAATAGAGAAACAATGGAAATCCTCCTGACGCCTGAAGTCTTTGCATCCCGAGTCAGTAAAACATCTGGAAACAGATGCAACACAAAAATTGCAATGCTTAAGCAAGTAAGATGGAAGAAATTAAGATACAGGTTAAACAGATGTCTATGTAAGGCCTCTTTCACATGGGGCAGACTCTGCTTTGCTAAGAGGGGGATCTGTCCTTTGATCCCCTACTGAACAGAGCGGATGACAGGTCCGTGTCACCTCTGTTTTATGCAGAGCAGACATGGACACAGCGCTGTATTCTATGGGTGGTTTGGGTGTAAACCAGGGGTGTCCAAACTTTTTTTCAAAGAGGGCCAGATTTGATGATATGAACATGCGTGAGGGCCGACCATTTTGCAGCAAAAAAAAATGACTGGATAAAGGAGTGACTGATACCGGTCATGACATATTTGAAATCTGTACTTGTTTCTCCCCCTAAAAAAAAAAAAGGTGAAATTACTCTCACTGATTTCCTTCAATGCTTGAGAAGGGAGCGCACCTTTGCCTTTCATCGGCCTAAAGCATGCTCGGAAACACGTTGCATTGCATGCTAGACATCCCTATGTCATTACTCTGACGTTGCACTCCAGGGTGGACTCCGGACGCCATATTTGGATCTCGCACATGCTGGCCTGCTCCCTGTGAACATCCCGAGTCTCCTCCAGCACTTACTACGGTGTATACATTGAGGACGCCGCCATGTCCTTCACTTTCACCACATATGCCTAAGCCTTTCATTTTCTTTCATCATGTGTTCCTCAATAAATGCATATTGCACTTAGAGGCGCTTTTCTCCATTTTAGATATTGCCAATTTACCTGTGGGGACGTGTTAAACCGTAACACGGGCCACAATTGGCCTGCGGGGCGGACTTTGGAATGCTTGGTGTAAACCAGCTAGCTTTCCATTTACACCCAACTGCCTTTCCATCCCATCAGCTTATCCCCTTCTGTTTCTTTTTAGCGGAATGGATTGGAGGTAAGCGGGTGTAAACTGACACAAGTCTATTTACACCCGCTGCTCCATATAGGTCAATGGAGGGTCCAATCAGGTCCACCTGAAAGACTGACACCGACCATGTGAAAGGGGCCTAAGGCTTGGTAAATTTCCTGCAAATAAAGATCCTAACAGTAAAGCATTTCCATACAGTGCCGCGCTTTCTTGAAATATGTGATTAATAATACAACTCCAAACATAAATAAAATATGTACATATATATTTATATACATGAAAGCACGGAAGTTCTAACCACTTAGCCACTGTGCTGCCCTTTATGATTGCTGCCCTTTGTATTCTAAAGCGCTGAGCAAACTGTTGGCGCTATATAAATCCTATATAATAATAATAATAATAATTAGGATAGATTAGGAGACAGCAGGACAGATTGGGGTAGGGAGTTCCATATGATGTGAGAAGCTCAGGAGAAGTCCTGGAGGCGAATATGGGAGGAGGTGACACAGGAACTAAAGTGCAGAAGGTCTTGAAAGGATCGAAGAGAGCAGTTTGGTTGATATTTTGAAACCAGGTTGGTGATGTAGCCGGGGGCAGAGTTGTGGATGGCTTTGTAAGTTGTTGTTAGTATTTTGAATTTTATTCGTTGGGCGGGTGGAAGCCAGTGGAGGGATTAGCAGAGAGATCACCAATCTCTTTACTGCTTTCCTCCTCCACTCAGTATACATGTCAAAAAACAATTGAAAGACAATAATGCTTTATCCTTAAAACATATTACTTTATTAAAAGCATAAAACAGTGGCCACTCACATGGTGTGGGTGCTAAACCGCATAGGTAATCCTGCAGTACCCTTGTACATGCAAACAGAGGAAACTCCACTCATCTGATGTGACAGTGTAGTAGTACTGAAGAAAAGCGAGTGTCGTAACGTCATCAAGTGTTGCGCCACAGGGTCACGTGGCTTCCTCAGGAGGATATTGCACTATTGTCTTTCAATCATTTTGATATGTATACTATTTAGTGAGGTCAAAAACTCCAGGTGAGAGCACATCTGGTGTTTGTGGTGGAGAATTTACAGTGTATGAAGATATGAACTTGTGTAGCTGTTTTCAAGTTGAAGAAATGCATTATATTTAGAGACTTTTTTTCACATATGTTCACATTTTTTCACATGTTTATTTTATTTATGTTTGGAGTTGTATTAGTAATCACGTATTTCAAGAAAGCGTGGCACTGTATGTTATATATCAGAATTTGTACACATGTTATGAGTATGTGTTAGTGTGTGCCACTATTTGGTTGTTTATATTAGTAAAGCATTTCCAAATAATACTCCTGACATTTAACTGCATCAAAGTCTTCTCATTTCCCCTTGAAACAGATTAAAAAGGATTGACTGGTTGCTTGAGGCCCAGTATAGGGATTATTTTTCCATTTAATAGCAGAATTACAAATATTGCCTTTAATATGTAAAACGTATTAATGTAGTAGGGGTTTGGAGAGTGGACGAAGGGTAATAACTGCTTCTGGGACCTTGGTAAATGCAGTAAAACACAGTAAAACGAGGCAAACCAGAGTTTTTGGGCTTTTTTTAACCAAAACTTTTTTCTTGGTATAAAAAAGCTAAAACATGCAAAAGTAGAAATGGTTAAACGCAGCTAAACACTAATTCAAAGACACTACAAAACACAGAAAAACTTACGTTTTTAACGTGACTTTATACAGCTAATGTTACTGGAATTTTTAGTCCTTAGGATTCAGGTGTTTGGTATACTGTATGATGTTTGTGCATTGATTCTTACCAACAACAAGATACAAGTTAAAGAAGAACTATTAGAGTTTTGGCTCAGTGTTAATATTTTACTTAACCATTTGCCTTCCTGAGGATTTACCCCCCTTCCTGACCAGGCCTTTTTTGTGTTACGGCGCAACATTATTTTAACTGACAATTGAGTGGTCATGCAACGCTGCACCCAAATGAAATGTATGTCCTTTTTTCCCCACAAATTGAGCTTTCTTTCGGTGGTATTTGATCGTTTGTGTATTTTTTTATTTTTTGCGCTATAAAAAAAAGACTGATAACTCATCGGCCTACCCCAGTGCAAACTCTCCCCGCTTCAGACCATCCTGAACTCAGCTGCCAGACTCATCCACCTCACCAGCCGCTCCACCTCTGCCACCCCCCTCTGCCTCTCCCTCCACTGGCTCCCCATTGCCCAACGCATTAAATTCAAACTGCTCACTCTGACCTATAAAGCCATTCACAACACTGCCCCTAACTACCTCACCGACCTGATTCCCAAGTACCACCCTACCCGTACCCTTCGCTCTTCACAGGACCTCCTTCTATCTTGCTCCCTGGTCTCCTCCTCCCACGCACGACTGCAAGACTTCTCCAGGTCCTCCCCCATCCTCTGGAACTCACTACCCCAATCCATCAGACTGTCACCTTCCCTCCTCACCTTCAGGCGCTCCCTGAAAACCCACCTCTTCAGGGAAGCCTACCCCACCCTCACCTAACAGCCGCTGCCCTTCCCTCCTCCTACCACTCCATCCCCCACAGCCATTTCCTCCTGTACCTCTACCCCCTCCCTCCTAGATTGTAAGCTCAAAAGAGTAGGGCCCTCTTACCCCTTGTGTGCTGTTTGATGTTACTGTACTGTTTCATGTATTGTCCCCCCTATTGTACAGCGCTGAGCAAACCCTTTGGCGCTATATAAACTCGATAAATAAATAAATAAATAAATAATAATTGAGAAAATAACAATATTTTTGACTTTTTGCTATTAACCTACTTAGCGGTAATCCCGAGTGTAGCTCGGGGTAAAATTTCTATACCAAAAGCGGTAACCCCGAGCTACACTCGGGCTTACCATGCGGCGGGTCCCTGCAGCACTTACCTTGTCCTTCGCTCCCGCGATGTGTCCCCTGCAGCGTCCCCGGCTATCTCCTCTGGCCGATGCCGGAATCCGGCTTCTGTGTTCCGGTCTCTGTGACGTCGGGACGTACGGGCGCCGGAACCGGCGGGAAATTTGAATTTAAAAAAAATTTAATTTTTGCTGTCATTGCTATTTCAATGCATTTCACATATATTTTGTCCCTACTGCTTTGTCCTGTGCCCTGCCTGCATTTTGAATGTTCTTTCTGCCTGGAAACTTAGAAAAGTCCATGGCGTCCAAAAAGGGTCCCTTTACGTCAAAAGCGGTTTTAGAACAGCGATAGTAAATCAGAACCACTTGCAGAATTGAGTGATAATGATTCGTGGGGGAAATTCGTCATCAGACACTGAAAACGATTTTGCGACTTTGCTCAGCGATGTGCGAATTTGCCTCTGTAATTCAAATTTCAGTGTTTTTGGTTTGATTATATTATTGAATTAAATTTATTATTATTATATTATTATTTTTTATGATTATTTATTAAATTATAATTTATGATTTCGTGTTTCAAATTTTATCATATCCGGAATGTTTAATAGACTCTTGTTCGGACAGATTTCAGTGAGTTATTCCTAAAAATTACAGCCTACAATAAAAAACTACATATTTCCATGCAAAAAAATGGTACCGCTTTCAGCACAAAAAATCGGAAAGAATCATACTGCCAAGGAGGTTAAACATGTCCAGTAAAAAAAAAATAAAAAAATTCTCAATATGAGTAAATAATTGGTTTATGTGAAAGTTGTAGCATTTACAAATGGCGGTATATATACTGGAATTTTTGTTTTCTTACTAGTAATGG